CTGCTTATCGCGAAGTTCGACTCCCCTAATTAATTACATCATCGATTTATACGTTAAATTTTGGATAAGCCCTATACGCAGGTAGTAGACAATCTGGCCACCTTGGCAAGTACCTCATAGACCGGGTAGTCAAAAGTACGAAGCAGAAAGATAAGTAAAAGTCCGTATGGTTGCAGTAAAGGCTGATATCTGAGGCGACGTCTGCCTTATGGCAAGGCCTCAGATGATCTACCTGATGCACAGTTCACAAATAATAAAATAAAAGCAATATACACAAAGAAGCTCACATACAGTGTGCTTTAAATCGTTTGATGGAGGATGTAACGTGGAGCAGATGCCTCCTGGATCCAATTGAACCAGACAATTTATAGCGTGTTTCTATTATTGAGGTTGAAATGTCGACCTCTTCATAAATCTAATTGTGTTATCACCGCGTCCACATGAGTGAGGCTTTTTTTTTCGTGAACATCAAAATAGTACAGAACTTTCTTAGTAGATAATGTGTAGCTGGTAAGTTAATATGTTCCTATGTATATGCACTATCGTTTGTTTTGAAACTCTTCGACAATAATAAAAATCGAGTGCGATCAATCGAGTGCGATCTTTGAGACGCAGTGATCACCATGTAACTGGGCCACTTATCTTGCCTGGCTCGTTAGGCAAATCGTATAGCCCCACTGCGTCCGTCGTTCCCGCTTCAATGGGGCACACAAACACTTTCACTGGCCGACAGTGACTCACTCAGTCACTGCGCCGGATCTTCGGCACTCCACACGGCCTTAGATCCTACTTTATTACCACACTAACTGCTCGACCAACTCCGCTCTTCGCTCAATCTCCTCCCTCTCAACACTCTTCACTCTCACACACTCTCAATCACTAGACTCCGCTCGCTCACACTACCACCTCCTTTTCCCACGCAGTGCGCTGCTCCCACCGTCGCTGTAGGCTCCGCTTCCTCAGTCCGACAGTGCAGTCACTCCACGCCGTCCAGAGCCCAGTAGCTCGCTCGCTTGTCTCCTTGCCACTCTCCGCCTCGCCCCTCACTGTGTCGGCCGCGAACTTCAGCTCGAACCCCGTACCACGTGGAGTCTCGCCGTGCGCACCAACGCCAATCACTCACCGCAGCACTCCAAGTCGTCCCGAGTTCCTCGCTGGTCTCGAAGTCCTCGCGCTTCGTCAAAAAGCTAAGTGAGCTCACTGCTCCTCGCTCAACCTCCTCTCTCTCCGTATACGTA